TGTGTATACAAACGATGACTGTTTTCCTGATTCAACACCAGAAGTTTGATCTAATAACATACTGAATAAGTGTAATTTGCTCAAACATTGACGCTTTAATCCGACTGTTTCAATTGATTTAATAACATGCTTTATTATACGTCTACTAATTGTTTTCTAGCTCCATTACTAGATTCCATTGTATTGCTTAACAATATTGCTGAATAAAGGTGAATACAGTCAGCATAATAGCTCTTATTCCAGTAGCCGTCCATGTTTTAATTGCATGCTTTATAAATGTTTTACAAACGGCATATTCATTCATTATTCCACAACAGTGATTCAGGCTAACAACAAAACGAAATTGGTAGCATAGTGGTTACCGTTTGCGCTTTCCAAGTAGAAGGTCGCGAGTTCAATCCCAGCGTCAACCCTTTTTTTATTTATGTTCTACTCCTAATTAATTTAAATCGTATCACTCACGACAACCAATTCGTAGTTCTATAGAAAAGAATAGCATCCTTTCCATCGAAATTAGAAAGATGAAGGTCTAATGCTAAACAACTATGAATGAATTAATCATTCTCACATCTCCTTGAGTTAGCTAGAGTTACGGCTGGAAGTGCTGATAGGTTTTCAGATTCAAGCTTTTATTGCTTATTTGGCTGCTCATATGATGTATTCTAGGATAGCTCAGATGGCAAGGCAAGCGGCTGGTGATCGGAAGGTCATGGTTCGAATCCCATTTAACGACATGTGTGTGTATGTATGTATGTATGTAATAAATTCGACAGAAATAATGACACAACAATCACTAACGAGAAAACAACCCTGCTCGTGCCGTTCTTATTTTCGGATTAATTATCCCGTAGTTGAATAATCTTTTAATAAATGTATAATGATGTAATAATTAAACATTATTTCACATGAGAATCAAGCCGTCTATATACACCTTTATACCATCGCTGTTTAAGGATGGTCTAATAAACTCTGAATAATCAAAAATTTGATCGAATAAGCTAAGCTCTGTTACAACTTTTGTAAGTCGAATAAAAGCTTCTCGACATACCTTATTCAACACCAAATATTTTGATGTTGTGGTTGAATAAATTCTCCAGATTTGTGTGAACAAAGCCTGAACAGAAGTTATTATTAAAAATAGTACAAGTATTATTAAGCATGAAGTGGAATAAAATCGCCAAGAAGTCGTTTCTTCAATAGGCAATTGTTTGTTGGGTGGAGCCTTGAGTGTAAAATTGAACGCATTTTCGCTTGATGCCCTCCATCAAAGTCTTTACAGTGTCATCCGGTACCAGTTTCTCAGTTGTTTTTTTTTCCCATTTTCTTAACATGTCCTTCTCGTCTTTGACTGTCTTCTTGCTCTTCCGAAGTTCCCGCTTCATTATTGCCCAGTACTGCTCCACCGGGCGCAGCTCCGGACAGTTTGGCGGATTCATGTCCTTTGGAACAAAATGGACAGAATTGGCCTCATACCACTCCAGGACACTTTTAGAATAGTGGCATGATGCCAAATCTGGCCAAAATAGCGGAGCTTCGTCGTGCTGCTGCAAGAACGCTGCAAGAGGCGCTTCTCGAGGCACTCAGATTTGTAGATCTCGCCATTTACTGTGCCCTTTGTCACGAAAGGCTCACTCCTCAGTCCGCAAGAGCAGATGGCCTGCCAAATGAGATATTTGGAGGCGAACTTCGACATTTTCTTCTTCTTAAATTTGTCGTCCACATCGAACTTGCTCTTGCCGGTGAAAAACTCCAACCCCGGAATTTGCTTAAAATCGGCTTTTATATACGTTTCGTCGTCCATCACACTGCAGCCATATTTTGTCAGCATCTTCTCGTAGAGCTTCCGTGCCCGAGTTTTAGCCGTCGATTGTTGCCGCTCATCGCGGTTTGGGAAGTTCTGTACCTTGTATGTTTGTAGTCCAGCTCTCTTCTTTGCATTCTGGACGTAGTTCTGCGACATGCCGATCTTTTTAGCCAAATCACGGCTTGAGACGTTGGGATTTGCTTTAATCATCCGCTTCACCTTTCCCTCCGTCTTTTTGTTGTCCGGTCCCGGTTTTTTTCCAGCTCCTTTGCCGTGGTCCAATGTCAACCGCTCCTGGAACCGCTTCAACACTCTGGAGACGGTTGAATGGTGAATGTTCAACATTTTTCCCAACAGCCGGTGCGACAGGTCAGGAAATTCCAGGTGTTTGGAAAGAATTTGTTCTCTCAACTCGCGTTGGTTCACCTCCATTTTCGTTGAATCGAAAAACACGACTTCGAGTTTGACAGCATGTACACAATACACATCAATGAGAAAGTGTGCAAAATTTGGTTGATTTTTACCCAATGGTAAAAAAGTTATGCCCTGTTGAATGTGTCGCAATAATTTCGTGTTCGCCCTTTAATGCTGAAAAACTGAAATATATTACTGAAAAAGACAGCAATACTAGTACCACAAACGAAGTGACAGACGGAGCGGCTCGAAAACTTTGGTGACTAACCTGCTATTGCAATTTTTCAGTGTACCACATGGCAACACCACTACTACTGAATTGTACCACATGGCAACACTACTACTAGATTTAACTAGCATTTTCACCGAATGTACTAGAATGTTTTGGTCCTATCTCTTTCACTCTACTCAAAACTGAAATGCATAAACATATGACAAAATGATACGCACTCTTTGCACACTGTCAAAGAATCATTGTACACAAAATCAACTTTGTTCAAATCAAAACAAAAAAACTAGCCCATCTGGTGAATGATGGCACAAGCTTCCAAGAAAATTCTATTACAGTGAACCACATTATTTAAATGGATTTCTTCGCCAGTTAGTCGTCTGTCACTTCGTTTGTGCTAGTACTGACTAACACGGTAATTTTTGACAGTTCAGAGATTCTGCGATTTACGGAGTTTTCAGTAAAAGCAAAAACTACTGGGTTGATAACTGAAAACTCAGCTGTTTAAAAACCCAGTAAAATTTCACCGACTTCGGTAATCTAAACTCTGTGTGTACGATCTTCTGGCCGGATCTAGCTTCGTGCCACTATTCAACGACGAAGCCAACGGGGTCACTTTCGTACCCCCCCCCCCCCCCCCCAACGCACCGGAACTAAGGCCCATCGAAAAATACTAGGCTATTATGAAGCAGGTACTACGGAAGCATCCCAAGGAGGTCAAATCTGAGCAAGACATGAAGTAAATTTGGGTTTCCGTACAGAAGAAGCTGCAGCCAGAACCTAACCTAACCTAATGAGTGGAGTTAAGCGTAAGGTGCGAGCGTACGGTTATGGTATTGATGTTGAATGAAATAAATATGCCAAAAGCTTACTAATGGGTTATATTTTATTGTCTGAAAGTTTGAAAAGGATCGGTAAACTAGGTAATTTTCTACAGCGTTTTTTTCTGTGATGCAATTTGAAAGTGTTATGCTTTAAGCATCGGGCACGATTTTCAATAAATACAGCCAGTTAATTTGCTTCAATAACGACATTGACTCGTAGACACCCTACTACCTTTAAAACCCGGGGAATCTCAGGGAATTTTATTTTTTTCAGAAAAAAAACTGGACTCCTCAGTGGATTTTGAAATTATTGTGTCATCAGGCAATTCTAGATAGAGCTGCCTCTATAACATCTTTTGTAAACAATGGCTTCTCTCGCTGATTTCTAGGAATTCAAGGCACGTCCACGCAAACCAACGTAACCATCGGGTAGGGGAAGTCGTCTCCTACCCGATGGTGACGTAGATTTTAGTGGGAGAGCCTTGACTTTCTAGAAATCATCGAGAGGAGTCATTGTTTACAAAATCTAACACCAACGCTTTGTGTAAAAACAAGCTGACAGAAAAAAAAGTTTGCTCAGCTGAATATGAAGGCTATCGATTCAATGATTCAGATCTGACCTTTTTTTGCCTACATGTTATCTAGCAAGATAAACAATGGAATTGGGATTTTACCGAGTGCAGACGCGAGCCTTTTAATCAGTGTTTGATAGAAACATATAAATTCATTTCTTAGAAAATGTTATCAGTAGCGGCTTAAATTTCCCGTAGTATTATCATTAATGCCATAGGTTAACAAGACTTTTGTCACTAGTGAAGTGAGGAAAGTCACGTCGTTGTGACGTGACTCTCTGTGCAAATCAAATGGAGAGTCACGTCACCACGACGTGACTTTTCTCACTTCACTAGTGACGAAAGTTACTTGGACTCTCGGAATAACCCCCGAAGTCTACAGGAAACCTAAAAACTCTCAAAAACTACAACCACACCTAGCACTTAGAATCATAAAGTCAGGTGAAGTGTTCGGAAAAACTTATAACTCAAATCTGAGTGTGAGTGCAAGAAGATACATGAGAATCTCAAGCGTGTTCGATTCTCTTCATCGACTTTCTCTTTTGATAGCCACAGCTTTATAAACAGACGTTGCGCTATTTCTACCACATAGTTTGATAAAGGAGGTTCTCATCTAGCATCCAGAACGGCACACGAATCAAGGAATGTGTTTGCAGCTGAATTATTAACGAAAGAGAAAGTCGATGAAGAGAATCGATCAAAGTCACTTACACCCCTTTCCTTCTAACTCCCTTAATTGAGCTTATCTAACTCCAGCAATTTTAATAACGTCCTGAACGTTGAAAACTCCCTTTAACTCTGAAACTTTCTGGACTTTGGGAATGCTAGACACTCTCATAACTCCGGAAACTATTTGAATTGCGATATTTTCGGAACTGCAGTTGAACATCTAAATCGTTGAATAAATCTTATCTTGAAGCATGTTACATTCGAGATCAACCCGGATTAGCTTTGAATTTTTGAAGAAATAAAAACATACAAATTTCATAATCTTCAGATTATTTTTTTAGTAAGAATCTCATGCGCTGTAAAATGAAAACAACGAAATATTTATACAAATGTGGACAGGAGCTTTTCGCATATATAAAAAAATCAAACCCAGCAGCGTCGTTTGAAGAAGGCATGTCATCTTAATCCATAATTGTTTGCAAACGATACATTTTCAAATTTCCGTTTACTTACTTTCCCTTTCTATCTTTACACCAAATTTTCTTCATCTTCGTCAAAGAGATCCTCGAAGTCTGCAGCGAAAAGATCGAACAGATGCCATTAATTAAACACATCGAAATTCAATTGAATTCTACGAATCTGAAAATCAACTCACCATTGTAAAAATCCGCATGAACATCCTTCTCGTTGGCAGCCAGATCCATGAGCAGCCCAGTGGATCCACCCGCCTGGAAATGTAGTCATAAATGAAACTCCTTACTTTCTACAATCGTTTTCCCGGCACTTACCTCCTCCAAATCCATGAACGGTCCCGGACCCTCCGGGAACATCTCGTCCGCTACAAGGGTGGGCTTCATGGCGCTGACCTGCTGCTGCTGCTTGCTCTTGGAAGACTTTCCCGTGGCCGGTTTGCTCTTGTTATTCTCAATTTTGGCTGATTTTCCACTTTCCTGGGGTGCTTCCGAACGACGGCAGGCAGAAGATAAGTTTTTCGGAGGTTCGGAGTGATCTTTTTGCGAAAAAATACGGAAGTGAAAAATCTCGCACTGACGAATGAAAATCGCAAGGACACACGCACTTTTGACAGCTGAGTTTGTTTTGATTCTGCGAGCGGCTGGTCTGTTTTTTTTTTTTGTTTTCCGCTGTTTATGTTTTGTCTTGCGCGCAGGTTTTTCGAACATCGGTTGATGTTGTAAACAACAGAAGCAAAACAGAACCGATGAAGAGGATGTGTCAAATGCAAGAAACTGGACCGGGGAAGGGTGGGAGCTCAAAAGGTTGGCAACAGCGCGGTCGGCACGCGTTTGTCCCATGCAGCATCAGTTTTGGCGCAAGACGGGTGTGGTTTTCGAACTTTATGCTGCTTCGCAAATGAAAAAGGCGCGCAAATTTTAAGGAATGCGCTTGGTAAGCGTGGTAAGTAGCATACATTTTAATGCTCGAAATGAGCATAAAAACGAGCGATGAATGCATGTGTTGACAAAAGGCTTTTGTTCTAGCAAAGAAGCTCGCCACCAGAGGGATAAGCGTCTTCTTCGAATGAAAGTATTTCACAGGAATTTTCAATGAAAATTATTTAATGCGAAACTGAAATACAATTTATTGATAAATGGAACCATTGGCGTAACTGAGGAAAGGTTATAGAGATGGCTAAATTTATAATTACTTGTCAAACAGCGAACAATATTGATGTGTAAGGAAAATGAGTAATTGCATTAACAATTCTAGAGGGGACTACACTTAAACCTAGTTACGCCAATGAATGGAACTGAAAATGATTTGAAAAATAATAAAATGATGTTTGAGGTGTTCACTTGGCAAGCAAATCTAAATTAACTCCCTTGCGACGATCTTCTAGATGTGACTGCAACAAAAAAAAAAGAAAAACAATTTAAAATTTTGTTCTACACGCTATTTCCAAAACTACCCAAATTCGGGTAGAATCCATCCAGATCGGTCAAAACTAAACCTACCCAAAAATGGGTAAACTATGTTGCGAGTGAAAAGTTGACGAATGAACAAAGTCGATCGGATTCATGTCGGTTTTGTCCAATTGTCAATTTGTCACTCCCAACAGTAACTGTTCACCAATTTTTGGGTAGGTTCAGGTTTGACCGATCTTGGTGGATTCTACCCAAATTTGGGTAGTTTTGGAATAGCATGTAAAAGGTTCCTTAATTATCCAACAATGATTACCTTTATTATAGCAATATACTGCGGCCGCTGCAGCATCGAATAGGCCGTCACGAACAGCGGCTTCATAACATCGTGTAGATTTTTCGTTCCGTGACAGAACAAATCGATTGCCAGTTCCAGTGGCGTTCCAAAGTCGCACTCATCGACGGCAATGAAGGCTCCCGTTATGACCGGTTGCAGCTGGGACATTGCGGCATCGAATTCGACCTTATTGGCAGCGTTGTCCAGCTTATCGAATCTCGAAAGAATCTTCTTTAGATTGGTATCGGTTTCCAGCAATTCTCGATAGCCGAGTTCCTTTTTGCGTTCAAACGGAACCACGATGCCGGCTTTGTGGAACGTTTTGCAAACGATTGCCTTCCCACGGGCTTTCTGCTTCTCGGTGCCCTTCAGTTGGATGTTGTGGCTTTTGGCCCACTCTTCCAGAGATTTTTTCATCGATGATATCTGGACCTTGTTGAAGGGAGTTGCAGTGACTTCGTGCTCTAGGAAGTGCCTTGAATTAGTGGGACGTTAGTCTTAATTTGTTGTTAATCGTTGTTTCAACTTACATTACAGCATCGAACACATTTTCGCCGACCATCTTGAACTCGCAGCCTTTGTTGACATCGTTCACAGCAACCAGTCCGATGGTATCGTCCGGTTGATCTCTCCAATAGCCATAGTGCAGGCCGGAATCTTTCTTAACCAGAATCGTTTGGAACTCCGGTGGATCGTAGTAGAATCTCCAATGCCGCAAGTAATCTCCAGGTTCGTGCATTTTGGCATTTTTAAACTTCATTGCCAGCACATCGAACGGACCGACCAACCGGAGTCCAAGCTTCTCAAAACCCTCCAAAGGTTTTGCCTCATTCTTGGACCGGCAAAACTCCCACATTGAATCGAAACAGCTCGGCATATCGACAAGGAATTTGTGTTTGATAAACAGCTTCGGATCGCCGCACAGTTCCTTGTACTCTTCCTTCTTGGAGAACTCGATCTGCGGATCGTAGATGTCACTCATCAGTCCAACGTCCATCGGAACTTCCGGCAGGGTGTATCGCTGTCGGGTCATCCCATAATACTCGTTACCCTTGTCGGTCTCCTCCGCATTGCCTTCGTCCTTTTCCGGTGTCGGTGGACGTTTGCACTTTTTCACATCTTCCAAAGCATCGGTCGGATCCATCGGATCGGAACGCTTCGATGACGATGATGGCGAAGGTTTATCTGCTTTTAATGGAGACTTGGCTTTAACGGGACTGTGCTCCTCGGCTGCTGCCGCTTTCGATGGATGCCGATATTTTTCCTTGTGAGCTGGATTTTTCTGATAGCAATCCGCACCATACTTACAATCCTGTTTGTCCATTTTCGAGATAAAAAATGCTCTTCTTCAACAAAACGTGAATATTACATGAATGCACACGGATATCGGGAAAATGCGACTGATGATGCTTTCCCTATTATAATAAAACGAAACGCGCATAGCAAAACAAACGACGTAAATTCACGAACGTTAACAAGTTGTCAAAAAGAACTACAAGAAAATCCAGACCGGTGGCTTCGGCAACACGACCATCGATTGGGCACAGGGAAAATACTAGACTAACATTTGAAAGGGGCGTAAGAGCCAAAATGTAAACAAACCATATTTTGCCACATATAGAGAGAATAGTTCACAAACTACTCGATAAACACGGAAAAGTAGAAGAAAACATCACTTCAAATCATCAAAAACGTTTCTTCTTACATGGCGTATTTCCAACTTTCAACTCTATGATGCATCTGGTTGTTACGCCTTGGACCAGAACTACGAATTATATCGTTTTATTATGCCAAACGTATTGATTCTGTAGTATCTAGTCACGCCCGATTCATTTGAAATGCATCCGATTGATAGTTCACGTGTAAACATCGAACAAAAAGAAGACCAAAAAATCTCCGGGCGTAATTCCACTCTCACAAAATTTGCGAACGAAGAACCAAGGCGGAACAACAAACAAAAAATCCCGAGGGTGTACTTCCACGGCGTATCACCAGTGTTGGCAGTTCAAAGGGTGGAAGATCCGGGGGGTAACAACATGTATGAAATTATCAGGGCGTATGATGTTTTCTTCTCGATTTCACGACAAAAAAAACTTTTTTAGAGTTTTTAGTGATGCATGATGATAGATTACACTATTAACTATATGCTAAGCTTATAAAATCATCCAGAAAATGGAAAGTCGTGAAATAGGATTAATTTTTAGGTCATCAAAATTCAGAAGCGATTTTCTCGATATGGTCATTTTGGAATTACGCCCTTTTCAAATGTTAGTCTAGAATATCAGTTTTCATCCAGTTCTGTCAAAACAGAAAAGTAAAAAAAAACTTCAAACCCAGGATAGCGTTTATTGATTTCGCGAAAAATTTTACCAATTTTTATTCAAATTTGTGCTCTAAAACACATCTAATTGTGAGTGACCGCTCCGTACCGTTCCGTCGTCATGAGTGGCAATCGTGGAAATTTCAGTTTTTCGATGCGCCGTCCGGGCCAGCTGTCCAGCACCTTTGGTGGGCGTCCCGGGCAGCAACAGCAGCAGCAGCAGCAGCAAAAAACTTTCTCCCTGAATGCCGTTCCGCCGCCCAGTTCCCTGATGGGCCGTGGTTCCGGATTCGCACCGCACAAGTCATTTCAACAACAGCAGCAAGCGACCAGCGGGGTTTCCAAGCACGGCTATCACACCATGGATGCGATCGCGGCGTATGCCAATCCGGCCTCGCAGTACTCGCTCGGGAAGAGGCGCGGAAAAACTGAGGATGAGTATGTGCCCCTGCCCCTTTGTGAATAATTCCACGGTTCTATAAGCGATGTCCTTTTCTGCGCAGCTACTTCGACGACGACGAGGAATCGGCACCGCATTTGGACTATATCCCGGCGCCGGGTTCCCCCTCCGCCAGTGGTTCGCAAGTAAGTGACTTCTTCCACCCGTCCTACCCCCCTGTTAAAACTCATCCAATGTTGGGAAAACACATCACATGCACACGCTCCCCTTTTCTTCTTGTACGTTACCTACCTGACCGCCCCCTTGCTCCGTTGGATCGTTGGAACTTGGTTTCACGGCGAATAGGGCAAAAAAGGCGGCAAATCGGATGAAGATGACGGCGCCGCCAACGACGACGACGAGGAAGAGGAGGAGGAAGACCCGCTGGATGCGTTTATGGCCGGCATCGATGCCCAGGTTGAGCGGGAGAAGAAGAAAATTCCGCAACCGAGCGTCGAACCGAAGAAGGGCTTCCGGCACGACATCGACGATGTGGACGACGAGGAGAGCTACTATCGGTGAGTGATTTTCGTTGTTAGCCTTAGGAACTCTTCTGGCTTGGTTGTTTTAGCGGTAATTCTCTGAACTTATTCTAAATCGGTCTTACCCTTGAGAGTCTGAATTTTTCCCGTGAAAGTCCTGTGAGGAGACTACCGGACTTTCGTTATAAATCCTTTAAAAAGCTTCCCTTCAAAACACTGATGTGCTGAACATTGGGTTGCATGCATTTCTGGACGTATACAAGGGTATGTTCTGGCCAGATTTGAGAATTTCCAACTTAAATTCTAAGGGGTAGTTCGTGTATCTTCCAAATGATAATTCTCTGGTTAACGTAAAAAAAAGGAAGTTTTGGTAGCTTCCTAACGAAAGTTCTGGTGGCAAACTTTTTGGGAACGTTCTGGAAACACCCAGAAGGTCGGGAAGCTTCCTAGTGGAGGTTGAGAGTGGGAGCAAGAGGTTTCCTGAGAACTTCCTAAAGATGTTCAGAGTATTTGCGCTGGGAGATCTGGAATCTTTCTAGTGAAAATTAAGTTAAGGTCGTGGGACATTCTACAAAGAGCAATTTCCATTTTCGGGAATTTTTCAGAGAATTTTCTGGGACCATTCAAAAGATAAATTCTGGAGCCTAACTAGGGCATGTTCAGTTAACTTCTTGTTGAGGTTCTGAGGAAAATCCAGAGAAGTTCCCAAATAGTATCGAATCTTTTAAGAAGAAATTGTGGGAACTTTCAAACGGATGGTTTTATAACATACAAGGGGAAGCAGTTCTGGAGAACTTTTTATGAAGGTTCAGAAGTTCTAAAAACTTGCTAGGGAATGTCCTGGACATTTTGTAAGGGTGTTTAGAGAATTTTCAATGCAGTTGTAGAAGCTTCTTTATAGAATGGGAAGCTCTAGGATTTTTTCTGGAGAAGTTCTGGGATCTTTCCTGCAAAAGTTCTGGGAAGTTCTTAAGAAAAATTCTAGGCACTTACTTCTTTGAGGAGATTTCTAATTTTCAAGGAATTTCTTTGGCTAATTTGTTATTATCCAGCAAATTAACCAAAGCAATTCTTTAAAAAAAAACATGTAGAAGTTCTGGGGGCATTCAAAATGAAAGTTCCGGGTGGGCGACCGGGCCCTAGCGAAAGCAAATTCAGTTATCTTGCAAATTTAAGTTATAGAAACTTCTCAACGAAAAATCTAGAAAACATCTAGGGAAAGTTCAGAAAAACTTCTTAGGCGAAGTTCTGCGGTTCTTCTTTGGAAAGAAATTTCAAGGCAAATTTTAAGGACTAGTTCTTAAAATTTGCATGGGAAAGTTTTCGGATCTTTCAAGAGAAAGTTCTGAGAATTTGCCAGGGATAGTTTTGATAACATTTCATGAAGTGCCTACGTAAGCCCTTTGGATTTTCTGCCACCGCAGAAATCCTCTCCTGTAGAAATTTTCTGGCCTGTACCCAGAAGCCCTGTATTCTTCTATAAAATGCCCTGTGAACTTCCTGCAGAAATCTTCCGAACTTTCCACAGAGTCAAGTTAAGTTCTAAAAATTTCCCTCAGAAATCATGTGTATTTCCCACCGAATTCGATTCATCTAAACTTCTTGCAGATGTTCAGTGGACTACCCGCAGATGTCCTCTATATTTTCGCAGAAGTTTCCAGGACTTCTGGAAAAAGTCATGTGACCTGGACATCCCGTATAAACCCTACTGATTTCCCGCATATGTCATGTAGACCTCTCGTAGAAGTCCTCAGAACTACTTGTTCCATCTGAAGTGATTCGTATGTTCTTCAGAAGTTTTCTGGGCATCCCGCAGTAGTCCTCTGTGTGTCCTCAGGAACTGTGTTTTCTTCTCTTATTAAAAGTCCTGTGTACTTTTCATTAAAATTCAATAATCTTCCCATAGAAGTCCTGTGCATTTTCCGTAAAAGTTTTCTGAATATTCCACGGAAGATCTTGGACTTCTCAACGAAAGCCTCTGTACGTACTCCAGAAGTCATCTAAACTTCACACAGAGGTCCTCAGAATATTCAGCTTCCGCTGAAGTCATCAGGAGTTCATGCACGAATTGCATACATCCTCTGGCCTTCAACATAAACCTTTGGGACTTCACGTTATACGTGAACTTTCTGCAAAAGTCCCTTAAAAGTCTTGTGAACTTCTTGCAAAATTCCTCTGGATGCACCTCATATGTCCTCTGGTTTTACCAGCAGCAGTTTACTGAACTTCCATCCCGCAGAAGGCCTAGAAGCTTGTAGTAGAAGTCCTGGGAATTTCCCGCAGAAGCTCTCTGAGCTTTCCGCATAAGCCTTCTGGACTTCCTGGAAAATTCCTGTTCTATGAACAACTCGATCTTTCCCACAGAAGTGTTTTGTACTTCCCGTAAACATCCTGTTGATTTCCCGCAGAAGTCGGGTAGACTGCTCGAAGAAGTCCTCTGGACTCATCGCAGAAGTCCATTGAACTTTCCGCAGAAGTCCTCAGGATTTCTTGTTAAAGTTCACAGAACTTCCTTCTGAAGTTATGTGTACTTCCGTAGAAGCCTTCTGGGCTTCCCGCAGCAGTTTCGAGAACTTCCAGATGAAATTAGTACTTCTGACAGAATTCATTTGAATTCCCTGGAGAAGTTTTTTGAACTTTATACTTTTCTTTTGAACTTTCTTTGAATTTTGGTAGAAGTTCTCTGAACATTCCGGTGAAGTTCTCTAAACTTCCCACTGATAACCTTTGAACTTCCCGCAGAAGTTTTCTGAACCTCCACTTACATTCATCTGGATTTGGCCGTAGAAGCACTTTGGATTTCTGGCATAAGTCTTCTGGACTTCCGGCATGACTCTTCTAGACTTTCCGCAGAGGTCCTCAGGACTTCACACAGAAGTTTTATGAAGTTCCCACTTCAGATCTTTGGACTTTCCGCAGAAGTTCTCTGATCTTGCCCAGAAGTTCTGTAAACATCCGCAGAAGTCTTCTGAACTTCCCCAGAAGTTCTCTGAACATATCGCCTAAATTCCATGAACGTTGTGCAGAAGTCCTTAGGACTTCCTGCAGAAATATTTTGATTTTCCCGCTGGAATGCACTGGAATTCCCGCGGAAGCTTAGTTAAAGTTTCGGAAACTTGTAAACATTCAGGGAACTTGGCGAAAGTTCGGAGAACTTGGTAAAAGTTTGGAGATATTGGTAAAAGTTTGGGAATCTTAGTAAAACTTAGGAGAATTAGGTAAAAGTTTGGCGAACTTGGTTGAAGTTCGGGGAACTTAGTAAAACTTCAGGGAACTTGGTAAAAGTTTTGGGATCTTAGAAAAACTTAGGAGAATTTGGTAAACGTTCGGAGAACTAAGTAAAAGTTCGGGGAACTTGTTTAAAGTTCGGGGAATTTGGTAAAAGTTCGGAGAACTTGGTAAAAGTTCGGAGAACTTGGTAAAAGTTCAGCTAACTTAGTAAAAGCTTGGGGAACATGGTTAAAGTTCGGGGAACTTAATAAAAGTTCGAGAATATGGTAAAAGTTCAATGAACTTGGTAAAAGTTTGGAATACTTGGTAAAAGTTTGGGGATCTTGATAAAACTTAGGAGAACTTTGTAAAATTTTGGGGAACTTGATAAAAGTTTGGCGAACTTGGTAAAAGTTTGAGGATCTTGGTAAAACTTAAGAGAACTTGATAAAATTTTAAGAAACTTGGTAAAATTTTAAGGAACTTAGTAAAAGTTTGGGGAACTTGGTAAAAGTTCGAGAAACTTGGTAAAACTTAGGAGATTTTGGTAAAACCTTGGGAAACTTGGTAAAAATTTGGAGAGCTTGGTAAAAGTTCAGGGAACTTGATAAAACTTTGGGGAATTTGGTAAATGTTCAGCTAACTGGGTAAAAGTTTAGGAATTTATTAAAAGTTTATGGAGCTAAACAAAAGTTCGGGGAACTTAATAAAAGTTCGGGGAACTTAATAAAAGTTCGAGGTAAAAGTTTGGGAATCTTAGTAAAACTTAGGAGGATTTGGTAAAAGTTTGGAGAACTTGGTTGAAGTTCGGGGAACTTGGTAAAAGTTTTGGGATCTTAGAAAAACTTAGGAGAATTTGGTAAACGTTCGGAGAACTAAGTAAAAGTTCGGGGAATATGGTTAAAGTTCAGGGAATTTGGTAAAAGTTCGGAGATCTTGGTAAAAGTTCAGGTAACTTAGTAAAAGTTTGAGAAACATGGTAAAAGTTCGGGGAACATGGTAAAAGTTTGGGAACTTGGTAAAAGTTCGGAATACTAGGTAAATGTTTGAGGATTTTGGTAAAAGTTTGGGGATCTTGATAAAACTTAGGAGAACTTGGTAAAATTTTGGGGAACTTGATAAAAGTTTGGGGAACTTGGTAAAAGTTTGAGGATCTTGGTAAAACTTAAGAGAACTTGATAAAATTTTAAGGAACTTGGTAAAATTTTAAGGAACTTAGTAAAAGTTCGGGGAACTTGGTAAAACTTAGGAGATTTTGGTAAAATCTTGGGGAACTTAGTAAAAATTTGGAGAGCTTGGTAAAAGTTCAGGGAACTTGATAAAACTTTGGGGAATTTAGTAAACGTTCAGCTAACTTGGTAAAAGTTTGGGAACTTATTAAAAGTTTTGGGAACTTAATAAAAGTTCGGGAAACTTAATAAAAGTTCGAGGAACTTGGTAAAAGTTTGGGAATCTTAGTAAAACTTAGGAGAATTTGGTAAAAGTTTGGAGAACTTGGTTGAAGTTCGGGGAATTTGGTAAAAGTTTTGGGATCTTAGAAAAAGTTAGGAGAATTTGGTAAACGTTCGGAGAACTAAGTAAAAGTTCGGGGAACTTGGTTAAAGTTCGGGGAATTCGGTAAAAGTTCGGAGAACTTGGTAAAAGTTCAGGTAACTTAGTAAAAGTTTGAGGAACATGGTAAAAGTTCGGGGAACATGGTAAAAGTTTAATGAACTTGGTAAAAGTTAGGGAACTTGGTAAAAGTTCGGAATACTAGGTAAATGTTTGAGGATCTTGGTAAAACTTAGGAGAACTTGGTAAATTTTTGGGGAACTTGGTAACATAAAAGTTCTAGGAACTTGGTAAAAGTTTGGGGATCTTGATAAAACTTAGGAGAACTTGGTAAAATTTGGGGAACTTGATAAAAGTTTGGGGAACTTGGTAAACGATTGAGGATCTTGGAAAAAGTTTGAGGATCTTGGTAATACTGAAGAGAACTTGATAAAATTTTAAGGAACTTGGTAAAATTTTAAGGAACTTATTAAAAGTTTGGGAAATTTGGTACAAGTTCGGGGACTAAATAAAAGTTTGGGGATCATAGTAAAAATTAGGAGAATTTGGTAAAAGTTCGGAAAACTTGGTAAAAGTTCGGGGAACTTGGTAGAACTTAAGAGATTTTGGTAAAATCTTGGAAAATTTGGTAAAATTTGGAGGACTTGGTAAAAGTTCAGGGAACTTGATAAAACTTTGGGGAATTTGGTAAATGTTCAGCTAACTTCGTAAAAGTTTGGGGAACTTAGTAAAAGTTTGGGGAACTTAATACAAGTTTGGGAATCTAATAAAAGTTCGGGGAACTTGGTAAAAGTTTGGGAATCTTAATAAAACTTAGGAAAATTTGGTAAAAGTTTGGAGAACTTGGTTGAAGTTCGAGGAACTTGGTAAAAGTTTTGGGATATTAGAAAATCTTAAGAGAATTTGGTAAAAGTTCGGATAACTAAGTAAATGTTCGGAGAACTTGGTTAAAGTTCGGGGTATTTGGTAAAAGTTCGGCGAACTTGGTAAAAGTTCGGGGTACTTCGTAAAAAATTGGGAAACTTGGTAAAAGTTTGGGGATCTTGGTAAAAGTTTGGGGATCTTGGTAAAAGTTTGAGGATCTTGATAAAACTTAGGAGAACTTGGTAAAATTTTGGGGAACTTGATAAAAGTTTGAGGATCTTGGAAAAAGTCTGAGGATCTTGGTAAAACTTAAGAGAACTTGATAAAATTTTGGGAAACTTGGTAAAATTTTAAGGAACTTGGTATAAGTTTAGGGAACTTGGTAAAAGTTCACGGAACGTTGTAGAACATCAAGCAATGTCATAAGTTTTCAAGAAACTTCTTAGAAGTTCTGCAAACTTTCTATATATGCAGAAAATTGCATAGGAGTTCAACTAACTTTGTAAAAGCTCAGAGAACTTAGTAAAAGCTCGTAGATGTTCAGGGGAGAGATAACAATTTGTAGAACTTCGAGGAAGCTTCATAGAAGTTCACAGAAATAAAGGGAGCTTTGTAAAAACTCGGAAAACTTAGTAAAAGTTGGAACTTTGTACAAGTTTGGGGAACTTCGTTGAAATTAAGGAAACTTTGTTCCGGGACCTTCTTTTAACTTCAGGGCACTTCGTTTAATTTAAATGGACTTGGGATTGTAGTTCAGGTAATTACATAGAAGTTCAGGAAGCTTCAGGGAATCTTTGTATCAATTCTCGAGTAACACGAGAAAAGGGTCTATAATTGTTGATCGATTATTCTCTTTCGTGAATAACGCGTCTGCAAATGCATTTCCCATCGAGTGTGTTGTTTCGGGCACAGCTGTCGAAATGCGAGCATATTGAGAAATTCGTTTGTTGCCGTGGTAAACCAAAGAGAAAGTCGATTTAGAGAATCGATCATCGGGAATAGGCCCTTTTCAAATATTATATGAGAATTTAGGATTTATTTCAAAAAGCTCAATAGAAGTTTTGAGATCTTCGTCTCACCCAGATGTTCAAAGAAAATTCGTAGAAAGGTTCGGGTTGTTCCAGGAGGTTCATGGATGTCCTGAAATCTTGGTCGAATTAAGAGAACTTTGAAAAAAAGTTAGGTTAGGTTTTATTTATCTGGTAGGCTTTCAGGCTTGGGCTGAAGAAACTTGAAGTTTTTTTTTTTAGAAGATAAGGGAGCTTTTCTCAGTTTCAGGAAACTTCATATTAACGTCAGGACACTTCGTTGAATTTCAATGGACTGGAAATGGGTCAGGGAACTCCGCAGAAGTTCTGGAAATTTTGTAAAACTTCAGGGAAATTCGCAGAACATCAACTAAATTCAGGGAACTGAATACGCGTACAGTGAACTTCATAGTACAGTACCCGTTCGATTTTGGCACGGTTCTATTTTACTTGTCATTACAATATTTATTAAAAGATTAATTATTAATATCGTCTATGCCATAAGGATGCCTCACGGTTGTCCAAAATCAACGGTATAATCACAGACAAACAGACATAACACATTGAATATTTCTCACGAAATTCAGCTAAAAAACATAAATTTTGCTGAATCTTGCAGAATGCCAAGTTGCTTGGTGTTGCCCATCTCGGCAAAAAAAATTAAGTGTGTACCTCATAGAAGCTCAGGGAATTCCGTAGAAGTACAGCAAACTTCTTGGAACATCAGGAATATTCATATCAATTTAGGATTTTTTTTTCAAAAATTCTCAATGAACTTTCTACAGGTTTTGAAAACTTCGTTTCGTAGAAAAGGTTCAGCTTGCTCCAGGAAGTTTGGGAAGTTCATGGATGTCCTTTGATCTTGGTCGAATTAAGAGAGATTAGAAAAATAAATTTTAAACTTGTTCAGGGACTTCGTAGAATTTGATTTTTTTCTAGAACTTAAGGGAACTTAGCAGCTTTTCAGGGAACATGGTATAGATAACTCGTACACTTGATAAAAATTTAGTTATATTTTTTATAAGCTATGCAAACATCGTGGAAGTTAAGGAAACTTCGTAGATTATGACGAAACTTCGAATAAGCTCAATACGTTCATAGATGCTGATTAAACTTCGGATAAGCTTAATGGATTGTAAAGAAGTTCAGGGAGCTTCGTTTGAGTTCATAGAACTGAGTTTATTTTCATAAAACTTTGTGGAAGTCTATGAAACTTCGTAGAATTTTAGAGAAATTCGTTGATAATTACAAAACAATAAACAAAATATAAATATGTCTTCAAATCTGGCGTCCCTGCTCAAAATTCACCTAAAGTCGACTGAACTTTCTACAGATTCCTGCTAGGCTTCTAAACTTCCCGCATAAGTCCAGTGAACTTCCTGAAGTTATTTTCTGGAATTTAAAAATCCCGCAGAATCTCCATGAACTTCCCCAAGAAACCGTGAATTCTTCACCCAGAAGTCCTTTGTATTTCCCCCGATGGTACATTTCCACAGATGTCTCGTGAACTTCCTCGAACGGACCTGTGAGTATCTCACGGAAGCCCTGTGAGCATTCCCCCAAAAACTTGTGTAAACATCTTCTCCCAGCGTTTGATCCCCCCCCTTTTGAACCCCCAAACGTAATTAACTGGAAAATCTTTCCCTCCCCCAACCCCACCTTCAGCTACATGGAAGAGAATCCCAACGCCGGACTGCACGATGCCGACGGTTCGGACGCCGAGCTCGAATACGACGAAGACGGCAATCCGATTCCACCACCCAAGAAGCGAGAAATCGATCCGCTGCCACCGATCGACCATTCCGAGATCGAGTACGAAAAGTTCGAGAAAAATTTCTACAACCCCCACGAGGACATTGCCAGTCTAACGCCGAGCAAGGTGAACGAACTGCGCAACAAACTGGGCGTCAAGGTTAGCGGCCCGATCCCACCGGCACCGGTTACCAGTTTTGCTCACTTCGGGTTCGATGAACAGCTGATGAAGGCTATCCGCAAGTCGGAGTACACTCAACCGACGCCGATCCAGGCACAGGCAGTGCCAGCTGCGCTGAGTGGCCGCGATATGATTGGTATTGCGAAAACCGGTAGCGGTAAAACGGCTGCCTTCTTGTGGCCCATGTTGGTCCACATCATGGACCAGAAGGATTTGGGTCCCGGGGACGGTCCGATCGGGCTGATCCTGGCACCGACTCGCGAGCTGTCGTTACAAATCTATCAGGAGGCGAAGAAATTCGGTAAGATCTATAACATAAGCGTTTGCTGTTGCTACGGTGGTGGATCCAAGTGGGAGCAAAGCAAGGCACTGGAACAAGGCGCTGAGATTGTAGTGGCCACACCGGGCCGTATGATTGATATGGTGAAGATGAAGGCCACCAACTTGCAACGGGTGACCTATTTGGTACTGGACGAAGCCGATAGGATGTTCAACTTGGGCTTCGAGCCGCAAGTTCGTTCGATTTGTAACCATGTCCGTCCGGAACGGCAGACGATGCTGTTTAGTGCTACGTTCAAGAAGCGGATCGAGCGATTGGCTCGTGACGTCCTGACCGATCCGGTGAGAATCATGCACGGAGACTTGGGTGAAGCCAATGAGGATGTCACTCAGCATGTTATTCTATTCAACAATCCGGCGCACAAATGGAACTGGCTGCTGGCGAAGCTGGTCGAGCTACTATCCGAAGGAACCATATTGATATTCGTAACCAAAAAAGCGGATGCCGAACAGGTAAGAGTGTCTTAGCGATATTTGCTAACAACGTTTCCCTAAGAAACTTTCTGTTTGCAGGTGGCCAACAACCTCCGCCTGCAGGAGTACGATCCAGTATTGTTGCACGGTGATATGGATCAGGCGGACCGTAACGTCGTCATCACAAGATTTAGAAAACGCGAGGTGGAAATTATGGTGGCAACTGATGTGGCAGCCCGTGGTCTCGATATTCCGCACATCAAGAACGTGGTCAACTACGACATAGCTCGGGACATTGATACTCACACGCATCGGGTCGGTAGAACTGGTCGTGCCGGTGAGAAGGGTACCGCCTATACTCTGGTGGTAGATAAAGATAAGGAATTTGCCGGTCACTTGGTACGGAACCTGGAGGGTGCCAACCAGGAGGTTCCCGATGAGTTAATGAAGTTGGCGTTGCAAAGTGCATGGTTCCGGAACTCGCGCTTTAAACAGAATAATAAAGGTAAAAATTTAAACGTTGGCGGAGCGGGTCTTGGCTTCCGCAGTCGGCCGATTCCCAGTGGTCCGTTGAAGTCATTAGAAGGCCCGTCGCCGTCTTCTTCTGCCCCGGCTGGTGGTACCGGTGGCTGGAAAGGACCAGCCACAGATCGTCTGACCGCTATGCGCGACACATTCAAAGCGCAGTACAATGCACAATTCAAGGCTTCCTCCGATAGGACATGGGAAAATATCATTCCCGAGGGGGGTGTTTTTGCCAAGCCGGCAATGTCTGGCTTTGTGGCTGCGTCCAGCAGTGACGGTGATGGTGGTGACGTAGAACCCCAAAGAGAAGAAGCACCGCAGTACTCAAATGCGGGAGAAGGAGAGAGGCCACGGAAGAAGAAAAGTAGGTGGAATTGAATGGGCTCTGCTGCAGGCTTAAGATGGTTGTACGCGATTCTGTCGTTTGTGGTTTCTGTGTTTACGACGTTTTGGTATGCGCTTTGGTAGTGTCTATATATGTGTCAATTGTAGATGGCCAATCCAACGATCCGAGTAATTGTGGAAGGAAAGTTTTCAATAGCAGCGATTACGTATGAAAAATAAAGTCTTCATAACTATTTCTGTCCTGAAGGTGGACGTTTTTAATTGGATTTTAGAGAAATTCCTTCCGGCGAATGATGTTCTTAATAGTTCGAAATATTGTTCCCGTTTAGTTAATGGTCTTGTGTAGGGTGAGGTTTTAGGTAAGAATGTAATCAAAAACTTTCAAGTTCTATAAATTTGGTGAATTTTCATAAAACCTCGCTCAACAAAATGTCCAGACACCTTTGACTTTAAAATGGTGCTTATTTCTTGTATTTGTGTGGTTTACATATTTGAATTCTCAAGTGACAGCTGTATTTAATTTGAATTTAAAAAAAATATTATTTAAGTTCCTAGTCCTATCAGGTCTGTTTAAAGCATTCCCACCATGCTGGGACTGGTTTGTTTGAAATTGAGAAAATACTACTTTTAACTACTATTTATTTAGAATTTACTACAAACTAACCTACAACTACTATATACACTTAACCTCTATTGTATACAAATTGCTCATTACAGCATGTTCAGATCTTTAGTCTTGTGTAGAGTGAGGTTTTAGATCATAAACTTTCAAGTTCTATAAATTTGGTGAATTTTCGAAAAATCTCGCTCAATAAAATGTCCAGACGTCTAAGCAAACCGGAAATGAACCAGATGAAATCCGAGAAATCCAATCCATACCAAATAATTGAAAACGAATGTTATTTATAACTCCAGGTAACGCCTGTATCCACTGGAGAAAGGAGTCCTACAAGGCCCGCATTGGCGTAGCTAATGGGGGTGCCAGGCCCCCTCCAGAATTATCTAGGCCCCCTCCAGATAAATTGTCTAGCTACGCCAATGAAGGTCCGGTTTTGTCTGTCACACTGTTCCTCGTAGCAATGCACCCTGTCTTTCGGGTGGAATACCTCTATGGAATATGCGTTCACAAAACGCACGAAATCTAAAAAAATATATATAGTATTTTTTAAATTCAATCAATAGATAAAGGATGTAGGGGAAGGAGGGGCATAGTGAGCTTCCTGTGCTTTACCCTCGGATATTGAACCTACTACCAATTAATTTGCTTAAAACTGGGACTGGATTAAAGGATGCTCAGTATGCCCCACCTGCTCACTATGGCCCATTTTCCGAGCCTTTTACCCCCGAGAATTAAATGGAGGGATGTCAAGCGAAAATGTTCTGATCGCTAGATATTCACGATCAATACCGAAATTTCGAATAAATGTCAAACCCGTTTTGTGTGTGTGCTGCTGATTTTCACTGTTGCCCAATTGATCATTTTAGATGGTCAAGTTTTGAAACCACCACAGCATGCTTTTGGCGCTACTGTATATGGACGATCAAATGTAAAATACTGTGGTAGCCACAGCATAGTTCTGTCAAAAACTCAGCATTTTCATTGATCCATTGCATGCATGCTTGGGAAACTTTCATAAATAACGTAATAGTTGAAGGAGGAGCAGGGTGGCAAGTGAACCAGGAAAACCGGGAAAAAGTCGGGAATTTATTTTCACCAGTAAAAACCGGGAAAAAACCAGGAATTTCATAAGTCCACCAGGAAAATAATCTTGTTTGTATAATTGAAATAGGTTTTAAATTTTATGTATGTCAAAGTTTCTTTTTATAGTCAGGTCAAAACTAACCATTTTGTTCAAGCTAAATCTTTCACGCAACTAAGCATTGATGAACAAAATTTACCTTGAGAATTTAGTAAATATATTTTGTATTTATTTTTAATTTATTTTTTTTCTCGAATCAATTGCATGTATGATTTTTGCTTAATTTATAGCAGACTTAAGAAGTGCCGACGCGTAACTACTTTGAAGTAGAGTTGGTTGGAAATGCTAACATGAAGCTTTAGTGTGATGATTTATTAGCTAGAGAATGATCTTTAGAAGAGGGTAGGTGGATAGTTCCGTTAGAGTACGGCAGTATGAAAATTGAATAGAAGTTGAAAATGAGCGAAGGGCCATTAATGCGACAGTTTTTCAAGATAGACGCAACACAATAGTTGGGTAAAGAAGAACTGCATTATAACACACCATCGACTGGAAATGCTCTCGCAACGTGGGGCTTTAGGTAGTGATGAAAACGTCGCTAGAACTATTCCACAGCCGCAGTCAGTTTATGAGCAAAAAGAGGGACGCACATTTTTGCCTGTGGACTTGGAGACATACATACATACCAACCAACTCTGAAAATCGTTAACTTCGCGTATGAAGTAACATAAAAACACTTTGAAAATACTTTGAAGTACCTGTTCAACATGTTCAATAAAACTGTTCTATTTCTAAAAACTTCAGATATGAAAGTCTTACAAGTTTCAGGAAAATCCTGTGAACTACTGTGATGACCTACGACGGTCAGGAAATCTTTCCGAACCTTCAGAGAAGTTCTACAAATTTCAGAGAAGTCTTACGAACTTCAGGGAAGTCCTTTAATCTTTGGGGAATAACTACGAATTTTACAAAATTTTCTACAAATTTAATGTAACTTCTACGACATTTAGGCATTGCTAAAAACTTAAGGATAATCCTATGACCCTTATGGATTTTTTCCGAGCTTCAAAGAAGTCTTCAATACTCTTGGGAAGTCCTCTGAACTAAACATAGCTTTCCAAGCTTAAAAAAGTTCCTAGAACTTCCGAGAAGTCGATTGAACTACAGGTAGTCCTGCGAAATTCATGGGAGCTCTCCAAACTTCAGGGAATTTCCAAGAAATTAAAGAAAGACCCACAAACTTTTGAAAAACCCTTCGATATTTAAAGGCTTATGAACTTCAGGGAAGCTCTTCTAAATTTAGGGTCCGCATATATTCAGTTAAGTCCTTCAAACTTCAGGGATGTCCTCAGATATTCGAGAAAGTTCTTCGACCTTGAAGGAAGTCTTACGAACTTCTGAGAATTTCTTCGAACTTCGTGGTACTTCTACGATATTTAAGAAATTCATATGAATTTCAAAAAACTCCGAACTTCAGGGAAGTCCTAAGATCTTAAAAAAGTCCTTCGGACTTCGGGGAAGTCCTATGAAATTCAGGCAATACAAACTTCAATGAACCCTTCAGGAAAGACCTTAACGCTTCAGGGAAGTTCTACGAACTTTAGGGAGTTTCTATGAACTTCAGCAGTCAGTCTTTTTAATAATAAGAGTTGTTAAACCAACGTTGTTTATGAAATCTTTTAATCATATGATTTTGAAATCATGTTGTAATCCAAATTCCGCTAAATAAGATCCTTAATCGTTGACAATTGGCGGAAAATTTAAACCAACTGGAAATCCGTAAAATTGTTAGAAGCAAAGGTTTGTTTAACCCGTAAAAGCCCGGGACAAACATTTTATTTTCAAAAATTTGTATCTCAGAGATACCATGGCCGATTAAAATGACTTTTTTTTTAACATCATTCCGGTGAGTGGTTCTTATATTTGTTGGGTGGTACTCCCCCCATGACCCTCCCTCTTTTCTATATATTCATGAATGTGTTGGCACGCGGGTATTTTTTTCAATCTTTATCATATATCTTACATATCATTGCGACAACATATTGATTTTTTTTGTGAAACTCCTGGAAATGATAGAGAACATTCATAAGACCATATGGCTACCATGGAACCGGTTCCGGATGTTCCGGATTATGGTTCCAAATGGTCAAATTTATTGTCTGTCTTAACAATATCAAGCAACATATTAAATCACATCTACTCGACGAAATATGACCAATGGCGCTCAAAAAGACGTCCACAGAGTCATATGACCACCGTAAAATCGGTTCCGGATATTCCGGATTATGGTTCCAAATGGTCAAATTTGATATCGCTCATAACCATACCACGCGACATATCAAATCACATCTACTCGACGATATATGACCAATGGCACTCGAAACGACGTCCACAGAGCCATATGGCCACCGTAAAACTGGTCCAGATATTCCGGATTATGGTTCCACTTGGTCAAATTTGAAATCTCTCATAATTATATTAAGCGACATATTAAATCACATCTACTCGATGAAATATGACCAACGGCACTCAAAACGACGTCCACGGAGTCATATGGGAACCGTAAAACCGGTTCCGGATATTCCGGATTATAGTTCTGTATGGTCAAATTTGATATCGCTCATAACCATACCAAGCGACATATCAAACCACATCTAATCTACGAAATATGACCAATGGCACTCGAAACGACGTCCACAGAGCCATATGGCCACCGTAAAACCGGTCCAGATATTCCGGATTATGGCTCCACATGGTCAAATTTGAAATCTCTCATAATTATATTAAGCTACATATCAAATCACATCTACTCGACGAAATATGACCAATGGTACTCAAAACAATAACAATAGAGCCATAGGGCCACCGTGGAACCGGTTCCAGATATTCCGAATTATGGTTCCGTATGATCGAATTTTATATATCACACAACCATATCAAGCGACAAATCAAATCACATCTAGTCGACGAAATATGACCAATGGCACTAACACAACAATAACAAAAACTGATAGCGTGATGATGGTACAGCACGCAACAACCACCCTACTGCTTTCTCTCTGAGATGATCACGTTGGTCATGACGAGAGGAGCAACACAATAGTTGGTTAAAGAAGAACTGCATTATAACACACCATCGACTGGAAATGCTCTCGCAACGTGGGGCTTTAGGTAGTGATGAAAACGTCGCTAGAACTATTCCACAGCCGCAGTCAGTTTATGAGCAAAAAGAGGGACGCACATTTTTGCCTGTGGACTTGGAGACATACTTCAAGTCCCCGCGTACATCGTACGGGTTAGGCAAAAATGTGCGTCTATCTTGAAAAACTGTCGCATTAATGGCCCTTCGCTCATTTTCAACTTCTATTCAATTTTCATACTGCCGTACTCTAACGGAACTATCCACCTACCCTCTTCTAAAGATCATTCTCTTGCTAATAAATCATCACACTTAAGCTTCATGTTAGCATTTCCAACCAACTCTTAATACCTATTTTGGTTTGTGAAATTCCGTATTGCGCGAAGAATGATGGTACAAGGATTCAC